ACTATGCTATAATATTAAAGCTTTCTGGGAGTTATGTTACTAGTGACAACTGGAGAATAGGCTAGGGATGGGGGGGATAGGCTAGGGATGGAGGGGAACAGGCTAGGGATGGGGGAATAGGCTAGGGATGGGGAATAGGCTAGGGATGGGGAATAGGCTAGGGATGGGGGAATAGGCTAGGGATGGGGAATAGGCTAGGGATGGGGGGGATAGGCTAGGGATGGGGGAATAGGCTAGGGATGGTGGGGTTCTGCAAACCATTAAAATTATGGCTATATAGGGGAGTAAATGCTAAACAGAGCCATTGATAGAAAGTGGAGAAACTGACTTTCTCAGTTTTTCGCTGAAGACAGTGATTGGACATCATGTTTCTCATCACTCTGGGCATTTCATGGGTGGGGAGTTAGCACATTTATAGCCTCTGTCAATCACTGTGTCCAGGTTGGGATAACTGCGGTTGTTAGGTGAGGTCCTTGGTTCTTTCAGACATCTGAGCCTGGAAACAACTGGGTGCAGCTGTCATCATTATTATTTTTTTGGTGAAACTGAAGCACACTACAATAGCTTTAACCCAAACTGTGCTATTGTGGGAGATACTGGGACAAGGTCATCTCAAATGGGTACAGCTAAAAACAATCATCTTGTGATTGGTTGAGCCCTTTCATTTTACAAGTGGACTGAGAAACAGGAGGGTCACAGAGTCCTCTCAAGGTCAGGCTGATAGTTAAGTCCCGGATCTCAGGTCTACTGCCCTGTGGGCTGAGGCCATTCTGTCTAAAGCATACTTTACAACCTGCAGAAAAGCATCCAGACAGCTATGGGGGAGACAGAGTCATCCATCTTAAAAATCATTTTGGCTTCTGCCAGCTGATGAAGGAAATAAAGTTAATGACGCCCACATCAGTGTGATGCTGTCGTGGGCTGCACACACAGGCTGCCTGGAGGCAAGCGCTGCAGGCCCTCTGATGAAAGGAAAACGGGTTTTAGACCCTTTCAAGGGAGCAACATATCCCCCTTCTGCAGGGGCTGCCCAGAGGCTGAAGGGAATTTGCAAGGGTTGGATTCAGCTATTTGTGTTGTCTCAGCACTGGAAGAGCCTTGCTATGGCCATGCAGTAGGGTGGGAGCAGACTTGACTCAGCACTGGAAGCAAGGGCTCAGGTCACACAGACTGCTCTCTCCATTGCCCTACATAGCTACAACCTCTTTTATCAGGCCATCTCAAAAATAAGTTCCTTATGTGTCCTCTGGTAGGTTATTCCCAGTTTTGCAAATATGCGGATGTTAGGTGCTGGTTCATAACTCTATTTACTAGTCTTGGGCCCCTGTCTAAGCTGCCCCTTGAGAATAAAAACTTGACGTTTTCCTTGTTTCCCTGAAGTTCCTAAGCACCCCCCGCCCCCAAGGGGATGTGTGTTTTGAGTGACATTTTGATTGGTCCTAATGCAAATTTGCCCAACAGGCTTCATTCCTTGGGAAAAACAGGGTCATTTTAGAAGCTTCCAAACACATTCCTCAGTGCCCCCCAAATAGTGGGCAGGTCTCAGGGAAGGATACAGTTGCATTGGAAGGAAGAACAGACTGAGGTATGCTCCTTTTGGTGAGCAGGGGGATGTGAGTCAGATGGTCTACCTCAAGGAAAACTCAGCTATCATTCACTGTATTTACCCTGCTCCTTCCCATCCTAGGATGGACATCTACATCTCAAGATTTCAGTGACATTTATTAGCAAATGAGTGCTACATTGTGTTTAAAATTCTGCACAAGGAGCCCTCTGCTTTAAGGATACACTGATTGTCTTTTGGGAAAACCACCCATAGATGGTACTTGGTTCATCTCCCCACCTCTGTTCCCTGATGAAGCCCAAGCCAGAGTCCTTTCTGTTGCAGTGGGATGATTTGTGTATTTCAACAGGGGTGTTTCCTAAAGCCAACCATATTTCCTCCTGCTTGTGATGAATGTATCCGGGAAACTGATTAAAAATTTGGTTGTTTTTATCATCATTCAAAACTTGGGGGGTTTTGTCCTCTCAAATTATTTTTTGATGTCTTCATTTTTGGCTGTCATGATCAGGGAAAAAAAGATGTTACTGGCACCAGAGAGGCTGCTACAAGGCACAGGACAGACATTGTGACAAAGAATTATCCAGTTCAAAATGCCAATAGTGCAGAGATCTTACAGTCTGAGTTATTGAGAAGGTAGGGGAATGTTGGAATTGTACTGGGCTTGTCATTGCTACAAACCTCTGTAAGGGCTCTGGGGATCAGAACCAAGTTCCCTTTGGCTTAAAGGTATGTTGAAAGGAAAGTGCTTTCCATCATTAAAAAATTTAAAAACTCTAATTTTTAGCCCATGTGGATACAAGACCCCATTCTCCAAATGACACGAAATTTACAATACGCCACATGTGGAGTTTTAGAACCTCAGGCTTTTCAAATGTAAGAGCAGGAACTTCAGTCAAGTCATCCTTCTGGTTCTGTGGGGACAAGACTGAGGGGCACCTCAGGGCGGGGTCTGCCCCTCCAAGGCTTCTGCTCATTCTCTGTGTTGGTGTGAAGTGAGGGTTCAGCTTCCTTCATTCCAGTCATTGCTTTTATTTGTTTTTCTGTGATGCTGTTATTTTGCTGGTTACATACCAGTGCCGCAGGGCTTGGGTTACCGAGAGCTCTGGTGGCCCCCCACATTTTCTAAATAGGGTGAGCAGCTGGCCTCACTGAATCTAAGGGCACCTAGGTGCTGGGGATGTTTATACTGGTTCATTCTGACCCAGCGCCTGTCTGCTGGGAAAGAATGGGTTAGTTATTTCATGTAACCTGCAAGGTAGTTGGTGGTCTCTATTTACCATCACATTATATTCTAACGAGCCCCCAAATTCTAGTGATTTTGTATTTACCTAAAATTTGAAAAATGGTAAGTTTAGAAATGAAAATACCAGTTAAACAAAGGCGTCCCACTTGATTCCCCTCCGTATGACCTTTTTTTCCTCTCTATTGCTGAGGGCCTGAGCATTTACTCCTGAAATGAGATAACTACTCTGTTTTGAGACACAGCAGCCCACAATGATTCTGGATCTCTGTAGTTATGGCTCTTGTTCCTCACAGCCACAGGGACTTACAGCTGATATCCATTGCTGCTCATATGTGCCTTCACCCATGGAGGGGAAGGGAGACACCGTGGCACTCTCTAATGGGCCATCACCAGTTCACCAGACAAATGAACACTGTCGATTCTCACCTTCATCTAAGCGATTACAATGCAGATCCGTTTAGACTGAGTCTCTGTTTTTTTGGTGAAAGGTGAGGTCTGAGGGAGGAAAATCAAGGCTTGCATCAAGAAAAAAGGAGTGGAGGTGGGTAGAGTGATGTGCTTGGTCTTATTAATTTCTTGTTAATCTCTCTAGTTTGTTCTGTTTCTGGCCAGACAAATCAATAATCAATTTGCATAGAAATGTCACCAAGGACCCCACCTCTATAGCCTCTTACAGTTTGATTAGGTATAAATCAGACAGAGGATCTGACATTGTTAATAAGACTAGTAGAATGCTTCTTTCCTCCCAGCCCCAGAAAGTAGGTGAATCGCATAAGGCCCTAGATTTTTGGACTTTAAATATTATGATTCCTTGAGTATTTACACTGTAAATACTGGTGGGTACAGTGACCTGTCAAAGGATTATTTGAAGAAGACACTGAAAGCTTTTGCAATGGGAACTCAGGAAGGGAGCAGGTGTCTTTTCTCCATCTCAAGAGAAAAACTACAAAGAGAGGCTAAAATCCAGAAATTGAAATTTAGGGGAGAAGGTATTATTCTATCACAAACCAACAAATGGATTAGTCAAATCAACAACTCACGCACTGTAACAAAACCAGAATTAGTTGCCGTTTTATTGTCAGAGAGGGTCTTGTTTGGTGGTCTTTTAGTGGGTAAAACAACTGAAGTGGGATTTTCCAATGTCTGTTAACTCAGAGCAGTGGCGAAACACAAACGCAGGCATGCTAGGACGAGGAAAATTAATGATCTCTGCAGGTCATGGGAAGAAGAGTAATTTTTGTCTCAATCCATGGATGGAATTTATCATAACTCCTTGTGAAGATGGCTTGATTCACCCACTTACAAAAGGCCTATTTCATTACTTCATGAAAACACAATTTCTCACTTTTTACCTGGACTAATACAAGAATGCCAAGCCTGTAGGCAGAGAATTAGGAATCAACGGCTGGGGGTGGGGGGAGCGCAGGTATTGCACCAGGGATAGACATTCATTAAGAGGCAACAGAAACTAGAATTTTCCATCGGAGCAGGATTAGGGTCTATTGTAACAGAGTTCAGAAAGGTGTGTGTTGGGGAGGATGGAGTCAAAGTTTTAATCTAGTATCTGTTGGTAAATAGACCCGCCATCCTCACCCAAGTTCAGAGCATTTCCAGCTGAGGTCATGAAATTGTGACTTCCTGGCATCAACTCACAGGAACCCCTAGCCCTCCCCCGAAGAGAAAGAAAAACCACAAAAAGGGAGACAAAATACTCTGTTTTGTGTCCAGCCAGCCCAAGTGCAACCTTCCCCGTCACCGCTAGTTGTCACTTTGCTTTCAGACGGAAGACCTGAGGTTTCCGGCACTGCGGTTTGAGAGAATGCAGTCCTAATTAAACTGAGCAACTCCTGAGGCTCCCCCTTAAAGTCCCCAGCCAAGTGAAAGCTAGCGAACAAGAGGGGCCGAGGGGCCAGCGTGGGGAGGGGGTGCAGCCTTCATAAGGGCGGACTGCAAGAGACAGGCAAAGGCTGCCGGATTAGCCACTGTCTCGGACCTCCACGCACCAGCCAGACACCCTGCGGGCGGGGGAGGGGGTGGGAGGGAAGAGGAGGGGGGCGGGGATGGAAGGACCTGCAGCTGTACACAGCACCCCCTCCCCCAAATGACGAGACCGCGGGCAGAGTCAGCCCCCGTCCCCCGTCCCCCCACCCCATTTGCACCGGAGCGATTCGGTCAGTATAGAAAATTGCATACCTGAAGAACACAATGGTTTCCCAAAGGTAGAAACGGAGGGTGTTGAGGCTGTACATTTTCCAGGCTCTTTAAAGTCCGCGAGTTACGGGGCAGACGGAAATGTTTCCGATGGGCACTTAGGAAACCAGCGGGCGCTACCGGGGAAAACAATGCGGATGTTTAGGGAGCTGGGGGAACGGAGGGGCGAGGAGGGAGCGCCCCGGGGAACTGTGCGGCCGGCCGGGCGGCTGCGGGGACCACGGACAGCAGCCGCCGCAAGCGTTTCAGCACCACGGACAGCGCCCGGCCCCGCTTCTGGGGGGAGCAGCGGGTTCCCGGGGCTCGGACTCCGCTGCCGTCGGCTCCCCGCGGCGCTGGGGAGGCACGTTTGGGGGTGGGCGTATTTCCTCTCCGTTTCTTTGCTCTCCGTACCCCCGGGTTTCTGTTGAGACGGCCAGCTCTGTGCGAGGAGGAAATCTGGAGCTCGGAGCGCCGGCCTCGGACCCTCGGGCCAGGCTTGCGTCCTGGGTGCAGGCTGCAGGCTTGCCTTCTGGCCCCGGGCTGGCCCGGGGGTTCTAGGGGCCGGTGGGGGGAGCCGGTGACGGCGCTGCTTTCAGTGAGGTCTCGGACAGTGTGCCAGGCTGGCGCATCGCGACCGAGTCCCGGAATCTGGTTCCCCGGCCTCCGTTCCGGTCTGCTGTCGCCCTGCTCTCTGGTCCCCGACGAATAAGTTATGATGGTCGCAGGAAAGGCGTCCCATAGCTCGGGCTGCAGATGTGAGAGAGCCCGCGGCAAGTTTCAGGGGCGGCTGGGGTCCATGGTTACCCTGCGGGGCGCAGGAGCCCGAGGTTTCAGACACATCTCGGTTTTCTGAGCTCGCCCATCTTCCTCTGGCCAGACTCCCTCAGATCTTCAGACTTTCTTACTGCATTAATTTAACAAACTGGCGGTGTAGAGGATGGGGGGTGGGGTGGGGGGGCGAGGGCCGACGGGAGGGGCGGAGAGGGGAAAAATGGGGGGAAAAACTCCTTAGTAGCTTCAAACCCTCCCACTCGAGGTGTTCATTGGCCCGAGGCAGCGAAAACCATATCTTCTCCCTGGTTTTGGCCAATTGGGTGTTAGGCTGTGGGTTGAGTTTAACCCTAGGAGTGCTGGAGGAGGCCAGCCTCTCGCACTTGCCAGGCCCCAGCCTCTTTGGGCCTCTTCTGTGGCTCTAGGGGCGTCATGGAATTAATCTCTCAAAGTCTCTCAAAATCTTAACCTTGATTTTTTTTTTATTGTTATAAAAGAAAATAGTCGTATGTAAGTAAAACACCACAGGTCTCAGCCCAGATGTGTTCTGGAACTCAGTTTATCATTTTAAAAGGGCCAAGTGGGACCAGATGCCTCAGTTTCTTTAGAGCACTGGAGGTGTAATATTGGCCCCAGAAGGAGAGTAGAAATGAAAAAGTCTGGTGGAGAGCGGACGTGCCCTTCCAGGGTCCCTGTGGCTAGAAAACAGTTTGTAAATAGTTTCCAGGGTCGAGAGGGAGATACCTACCGGCTCCCTATAGAGAGAGAAGGAGGATGCAGCCGTCCAGCAGTACAGAGGGGCTTGAAATAACATCTCATGAGCTGGGGAAACTGGGCTCCAAAGGGAGGCAGAGCCAAGGTGCACATGCAGGGCTCCCTGTTTCCCATGCCTCCCTCTGTTTTCCTATCTTACAGGAGTCTCAGAAATGAGGTATACATTTCACTGTTGAGCCCATCTGGGGAGGTGGAATTAATCAGATCTGCTCCCAGCGAGGAGACTTTAGTGGATTAATAGCCTCTGCAGGATTTTCTGGCCCGTTATTACTGGCGGGGGGAGGGGGGATCTGGGGGTCCTCTCTTCCAAAGCGCCAAGACAGGACAGGACTTCCCTTTACCCAGTGGTTTCAGGAATGCCTTCTGTGGGGTCAATAGTTCTCCACAACTCTGTTCTCTCCAAGTTTGGGTCTTCTCCCCAGCAAAGCACAGCTTCCTTCCTTAGCTTTGATCAGCAAGATTCCCCTCCCTGCTCGCGTGTACTGTAAAAGCCCCAGACATCCCTCCTATTTGGTATCGGTAGTGGGTATGCACAAGTCTGATACACATTTATGTGTAGATATACCATGTTGAATATACACATATAAATATATACAGTATGTAATCAAAAGCTAGTTTTTATTAGCACATCTAGTGGGCATGCCACAGAACCTCATTTACTTTCCAGTCAGACCTTGAGGTAAATATTATTATCTCTGCTCATGTATTTGTGTGCATGTATGTGTGCATTCCTGTAGGTGTGCATGTTTCTGTGGGTATGATTCATTTTTGATTTGTGCTCTGTCTACTGCTGAAGTAAATTTGAAGTGTCTATTTGTATTTGTGTATTTCTGTTTTCAGTTGGGTCTCTGTACACACAGGCAGGTAGATAAAAATGTTCATATACATGTATATATGTCATATAACTATGTGTGTCAGTGTGGTACCTCAGAGGTATTTAAACAGGTGACAAGCTGGCTGTATCCTTGCCTCTTACCTGGGTAGGAAACACCTGCAGGAGTGATGCAATGTGTATAACTTTCCTTTATTTCTC